AAGCAAACAGGCAAGTAAAGAAGAGCATCATAGCTGACAAACGAAAATATGTGGAAGATCTAGCAATGACGGCGGAAATGGCTGCAAGAGACGGAAACTTGAGACAATTGTACGAAACTACAAACAATTTCGCTGGGATCTTTCGTAAACGAGAACGATCAGTGGAAAGCAAGGTAGGCAAAGTAATCAGCAACACTGAAGAACAGCGAAATAGGTGGGTAGAGCACTTTCAGGAACTATTGAATAGACCGCTGAAGACACCTAATATCAACGCAGCATCCACGGAACTCCCAATTATTATTGGCGCACCTACGGATGGGGAGATCAGTATGGCCATCAGACAAACCAAGATCGGCAAATCAGCAAGATCAGACAGCATTCCAGCAGAAGCTATGAAAGCAGATGTAGAAGCAACTGCAATAACATTCCACAATCCTCATCAAGAAGATTTGGGATGAGGAACAAGTACCATCATTTGGAAAGAACGATACCTGATCAAAATACCAAAGAAAGGCGATCTCAGCAAGTGTGAGAAATACAGAGGCATCACTCTTCTTTCAATACCAGGCAAAGTCTTCAACACAGTATCGTTAAACAGAATGAAGGACTTCGTAGGCGCCCTAATTCGAGATCAGACAGGCCGGATTTCGTAAGGATCGATTATGTACTGACCGCATTGTTACATTACGGATCATTGTGGAACAATCAATTGAATGGATCTCACCACTCTACATCAACTTTATCGACTACGAGAAAGCATTCGATAGCGTGTACGGGAAAACACTATACAGGCTTCTTTGACACTACGGTGTGCCTGAGAAAATAGTTATCATCATACGGAATTCTTATGATGGATTCCATGGACTAATATGATGAGGACAGCTAACAGACTCTTTTGAGGTGAAGACCGGTTTGAGGCAAGGTTGCTTACTCTCACCCTTTCTCTTTCTCCTGGTGATCGACTGGATTATGAAAACGTCAACATCTGGAGGGAAGCACGGTATCAACTGGACAGTTAGGACGCAGATGAACGATCTGAACTTCGCAGATGACCTGGCCCTTCTATCGCCTACGCAACAACAAATGCAAGAGAAGACGACTAGTGTAGCAGCAGACTCTGCAGCAGTAGGTCTCAACATACATACAGGAAAAAAGAAAATTCTCCGATGCAACACAACATGCACCAACCAAATCACTCTTGATGGAGATGCCTTGGAGGACATTAACACCTTTACATATCTGGGCAGCATCGTTAGCAATCAATGTGGATCCGATGCAGATGTGAGGGTGCGGATCGGCAAAGCAAGGGCTGCGTTTCTACAGTTGAAAAATATCTGGAACTCCAAACAACTTTCAAACAAAACCAAAATCAGGATATTCAATACAAATGTCAAGACAGTTCTACTGAATGAGGCGGAAACATGGAGAACTACGAAAGGCATCATCCAGAAGATACAAGTGTTTATTAACAGCTGTTTACGCAAAATACTTCGTATTCGTTGGCCAGACACCATCAGCAACAACGAACTGTGGGAGAGAACAAACCAGATTCCACTGAATGAGGAAATCAGGAACAAGCGGTGGAGGTGGATAAAAACACACACTACGAAAAGCACCTAACTGCGTCAAGAGACAAGCCCTCACATGAAATATATATATATAATTTACTGAAAATTTCTTTTGTTCCAAATGCTAACTGAAGATGAAAATATAGAGTTCAATCTATAAATTCAGCAAGCTCATGATCGACTTGCTTAATCTGGAGCCTGTACTGTACTGCTGTACTGCTTTATAATCAAGATATGCCGATTAGTCTAGATGAAAAGTTTTTGCACAGACTTACCTGATTTAGGCTCTCATCGGGCATTCATTTTGCGGCCTACCGATTTCCTAGATAACATACCTATTATTAAAAGTCAATGAGTAAATGTTCCCTAACACTGGCTATTTAAGCGATTCTAGACATATAAAAGCTATTCAAAAAGGAAAGCGAATTCTTTTATTTCATCGCGTTGGAACAGTTCAAAAATTACGTCTGTCAGCTGGTGGGCGGCCTATGCTCCATTGGGGTAACATGCGTAAGTAAGTTAGTAATTAAATTTAGAATAGGAAAATATCAATTTTGATGAGATCTAATCAACGAAATAATAACGATGTACACAAATTGATGGTGAAAACACAATCAGGTAGGTTATTATTGTTTGATATTTTACACGGGTGTAGAAGGCTTGACTAGCTTTTACCAAGGAGAGTCACCTATGGTGTGTGAAGGTGTGAATCACGGCACATTTCAGTAGAGGATATTCGTGGGCTATTAGTAATCGATCATCGATGTCTTTGGAGCATTCCTCGTATCTCCTAGGATAATCGAGTAAGCAATTCTGTTGATAGGAAAAGAGTACTAGGTGGGGATGGGAAATCGATTGATGTGGTAACGAATCTTCATCAGTTGAAATGGTTAGGACATATGCTATATATCTTGAACCCTCCACTGTTGTCTTCTGCAGGATAACGCTAGAACTATAAAGGCAATATTGACGAGCACAGAGTCTATGGGAAAGCTACGGTTAAAGGAAGATCAACTTCGCTTTAAACTTTATTTTTTTCTAAACAAGAAAACAATTAGATTAGTACAATAAATGAAGAAATTACAATAATCAAGCAAGACGAGCAAACGTATCGACCAATATAGCGTTTCTTATAGAAATGTGTGAAGTTATGAGTCACATCAATATAGCAAGATAATAATGTCAATCAATTTGTTGGTCATTTTCAACAAAGAAGATTTACAGACATGTCAGACCAGATCACGACAAAATATTCCTTCTGGTTAGGTTTCCAGGAAACTCATGAACTTTTAAAAATGATTTGTCCGTTCGAGAAATCCACTCTATACCCAGAGTTCGTTTAATCATGTTGTTGAACTCGTATACGGTAATGTTTCCTTTAGTATGATCTTCCTCGTTAATTGCACCTATTCTCAAAGTTCGTGAGTAAACTAGAGCAGGCATTTGCAACCAAATGAGAGCATTACTGAACAGTCTGCTTTTAGAAATTAAAAACGCACTGCTATGCGTGACATGCAGAGAGATTCGTTATTCTCTTCAGCACTGTTGTTGTGTATATCATTTAAGTGTAAATAAAAAGGTCCAGGATTATTCTACTCTTGTTTATTAGCGTCGGAAATATGAGCTCGGTAGTGCTGTCGAATGACTGGTATTTGCCTTTCACCAGCAACTAGGTCGGTTTCCGCTAAAGTTTCTTTCGGTTTATCATCAACTACTTCCTTAGCAGAATCCTCTAGATATTCTGAATCCTTACAGTTTGTCTGAGAAGCTGTAACTACATTAGTCAATGTAGTAAAAAGACATGGAGCAGAATCATGAAACGTAAATGATGATATCCATAAATTAACCGAAGCACCTTTCGACACATCAGCATTCACAATGCTTGACGAAATATTTGATCGAAAACACGATCAGATGGAATGTCTTTCTTAGCTATGGCAGGACTTGACAGAACGGTAGGCGATCTAGCTGATTCATTTGATGCTTCGATTGACGCAACGGAAGACTCTGTGAGAGAAAAAGGATGATTCGAAGGAGAATTAGAAAACAACGTAGAAATACTAAATAGGGGAAGCACAAAGAACACTATAAATTTTCAGAAGCTTTACAATCAGGTAAATCAGCAAACAATAAAAACCTGGCCGAATTTATCAACTAACCAGAAAATCATAGTCGACATCGGATCAAGAAACAGGTCAAAAGGCGGATACAATCAAAATATTAGTGCAAACAATGACAGGTTTAAGGTCAACAGCAACCAATCAAGATCGAGATTAACAGAACGAGCTGCGAGTCAAACGGAAGAAAGTCGAATACTTCACTTCTATCTGATGAAGTTTGAGCTGATAGATATTGTTCAGAAGAAGAACAATGAAAGATCCTCAACCAAAATAGCATCGAGCTTAGAGAACGAAAACCCATCACAAATTCCTTATCTTCTGAAACTCTAATAACGTTTTTCTTTTATTATTAAACTTACGTCACTTGGGTATACTTCCATTCGTAATCTTTTCGAATATCACTTATATTGCTACTATTGCTACTATGATGGGGTGTGAATCGGCAATTCGATCTCTCTGTGCTAATATGATATGACAATTTGAACTGATGGGTTTGCATACATCTGACTGAAAAGACTGTCACAACTAATCGGAGATATTCATGTATATATATATATATATATATATATATATATCGATAACATAAGTGTAGTTCACCAGTACATCATAACTGTTTAATTTCGAGCTAACATTCAAGGTGATTAAATAATTAACGATCAGTTCATCATTTCAACTGTGCAAATTAAATTTTATTTTGTTTTTGGAGCTGTCCGCCTGGTGGATTGCAGCTGGGTCCTTATTCTCCGCATTTGTGATAAGCTGTAGATCAATCCACCAAAAACGGGTTGATGTATCTAATGCTTGTATTGATTTCTGAACTAACGAAATTCATTAATGAATTGATAGAAATTGATCAACACTGAAAGACTTAACAAACATCATATCAACAAATAATGATTGATAATATAATTGTTAATATCTCAGAAGTTAATTAGTAGCCTGATTATCTAAGTAGTACTGTCCCATTCCGAAATATAGTGTGCCGGAAGTTTGAATCAATATGATAGCATACTTTCTCCTCAAGAATGCAGGTTCAGGTTTTTCTGTCCAATAATTACTACTACCAATCAACTTCCACTGCTTCTTCCTGATTTCCTCCTCCACCGGAATATGGTTTGGTCTATTGCACAGTAGAAAACTGATAATGACAATACTTGATCTTCTAGATGATGCTTTGGTGTCAGATGCAGAATGATTCAAAAATAGAAAGAATTTCTGACAAATGTTTGACTGTGGTTTAAACTCTCTAAAGTTGTACATATCAGCCAGGCTTATCCAATTCCATTTATGATTCCGATTTCTTTTTCTACAGGAAGATTCATCCAAACTGGAATAAATGTTGTATTTACTCAATCTTTAAAAGAAGCTTGTAAAATATACTTGAAAGAAATTGATCTTCGTACTACTACTACTACTACTACTACTACTACTACTACTGCTACTACCACCACTTCACTTCCTAGTGTTATTTCGCCGGAAACAATCATTCGTACGAATTTAAATGGAATTGCACGTGAAATAAGTCAACTAGTAGTAGCTATGGAAAATGATGAATATGATTTTGATGGAGCTAAACGACCGTAGGTAAGTTTAAAATATTCACATTCATCATAAGCTTAGAGTTGGTGTTAGTGACTGCTGCTCACATCATGAGAGTGTTACTTGAGTTAACTCAATAAGTTTGGCGTCGGTCTCATAGACCTGATTGCACAACCGCAGAGTCTAAAGTTCAACTGCTTGAGGCCGGTCACCCATGGTCTTTCGATGAGAAACGTTTGAAGTGTTAGCTCTGCTCTTTTTGAAATGCTTTGCAGCTGAAATGGAAATCCGTGGAGTAATATGAGGTGTATCATTTTTAGGGTCGACATTTCCTAACCCTCTTCTTCCCACTGTGAGAAGGCAGCATCTCTGCAGATACAAGATGTTCGAGGAGAAGCCCGGATGTTGTCACATCCTTCTACAGTCAGCAGGACTAATTCACCCTCAGACCTTGAGTGACTGCTTTTAGTCTCATCATTCTTCAGTGACCTGTTTGTCATGGTGAAACCTAAAGAATCATATGTTCCAGCCAATATAGCTTGGTTGGATCATCACGATAGGCATGCCTGACCACCAAATCGGAGAGACAGGGATACTATGGAAAACAGATGTTTTTCTTATTTGAAAATAGAGTTGAATAATGACGGACGTTATATATATATATATATATATATATATATATATATATATATATAATCTTATCTACTTGTTGAAACGTATCGTCTATCCAAGTTTTGGTCGTTTATTTGGAGTCGAACACTAATAAAGAATTATCAGTCCAGATTCTGATTAGTGTATAGTTAGCGGTTGATTAAGATAGAAAGATGTAGAGAAACTAGGATAGGCTAGATGAATTGATGTTCTACGATGAACAAGGTACCCTCTAACGTATATACTTACTCCAGTTGCTCCAGTTGCCCTAACATAAGCTGCCAACCAACATTCTCCAACCTATGTTTATTGTATGAACCCCTTACATTGTTTTTTGATTTTAAATTTATCAAGAGGAACTATTTTTTCAGTGTAGATAAACAACCTGCAATTAATCAATCAGTCAGATGCAACCTGGAACTTCGTACGTAAGTACATCAGTTCAGGTTACAACACTAGCACAGAGACGCAGTTCACATACTTTTGTGGTAGAGGAAGTAGGAGTACTATTAGTGATATAGAAGAAGTGGGTTCCAAGATATTATTTAAGAAGTATGATTCAGTGAGATAGGTTTAGAAAGACAATAGTACAGATGCTGACAAATCCAGAAGATTAGGATTTGTGAGTGCTCAAAGAATGGATGCACTTGCGCCATTGCAAACGATTATGGGCCATGTCATTCAAGGTCTCTAACCATTGGTGACTTTCGTCCCGCGGACCCCAACCAGGTAGTCAACATCTACCAACATGACTCATTCCACTAGTCAGTGATTTCATGGATTTGCGCCATGTTTTGGTCTGGCCACCACTAACTTTCTTCCAACTTACTACTACACCACAAAACAAAGCTCGTTGAGGCAGTCGGTGGTTAGGCATTCGTAACACATGTCCAAACCACCTCAACTGATGAAGCTTCACTACTTCATCCATTAATTTGCCATCCTTACATAGAACTTGTTTCCTAACGACAGAATCGCTTATATGGTTGTCTCAGGATACACCAGCACTGCTTTTAAGATATCTATGAACGAATGCTAGTAACCTACTAATATCTTTCACTCTTACCGGCCATGTCTCGCATCCATATAGGAGAATGGAGAGAACTGCAGCACAGTACACTCGTCCTTTAGTCAGCAAACGGATATCTCGCCTACGCAATAAATTACGTGAATCGGCATTTTGTATCCGTGCTGAGATTTCGTCAGTCCTCAGGACATCAGCACTAGTGAGACTCACGAGACCAGTGAAGCGGTCGACACGCTCAACTACTTCACTCCCTATCACTAGTTCCGGTGCCGTCACAAGACAATTTAGAAGCAATATTTTACATCACGAACATGCTTGCATTGTTGCTTAGGGTAGTCAGAAGACTCTGCATTTTTCAGCGTCTTCACCGAATAGAATATTCAAAGTCAGTATGCGATCGTCCTGGGAGAAGGTCCACCACTGAAAAAATCCTCGTAACAGCTCACCTGCAATTAATAATCGTCTACAAAACTTTAACAGCAATTGAATAATCATAATAACACTTAGAAATGATTCATACGCGAAAACGTACAAGCATTTTCTCGCCACAAAGTTGGGACACCTCATAAGTTGAATGTCGAACAGCTTCACGAAGAGCTTCAATCTACAACAAATAGGAAAAGATATTTTAAACAACCTATATCTTAATAACCTTTATTGATGTCTACATAAATGAAATTTCTTCAATTACGGCTGACATTCGGGCAGTCTATAAGGATTGTCTCAACATGAATATTATGACACAAGTTTATATAGAACAAGATGTGGTCAGCGATGGGATACAGGACGCGCAACTCGTCCTAATTGGGACTTGTCAGCTGGATTTGCCTGCATTTCAGGGTAAATGTCTTCCGAGCAACTCGAATCCATAATGTTGGCTTCGAACTTCAGATAGCTACTCAACGTGTGCAATGAGTATATGATTGAATTCCATTTGAAATAGTTTGGGTTATCCCACTGTTGATATTTTGACTAGGTTCGAGTCCTGAATTGAACATCGACTCTCACAGGTACAGCTGGCTAAATAATTTCGAACAGGATGAAACGAGAGTCCTAGATTTCACTCTTAGACACAACCTATAGATTCTATACTACGATTCAGTTAAACCTCTGCCTTACTCGATGCACAGTAAGCTTTTGATTATTTTCTGCAAGTTGCGATTATATTTCTCTTGTGTTCCAAAGCTAACATAATCTACATATGATCTAATATCGACTAAATCAATCAGAAGTGGCAATATTAGA